GTCACGTCCTCCATCTGCAAGAAGTGCTGGGAGATGTAGTTTTAAGCCAGGCACACTTATACAGCCATCAAAACTAGTGTTCTTTCCTTATGATCAAGGAGAACCCCTATTAGGAAGGCCTCTTAGTTTCGCCCACAAGTCCTATTTTATAAATAGGTATCCTTCAGCTTTATAGAACCAGCAAGAACTGCTCCCCTTCTACCCCCAACACACACACATGTGCACACACACAAACACAAAAGTAGCATTGCTTTTCTGCAAAGTGTTGATAGCAACTGTGGGCCTCTGAACTGTGTAAAACATGAGGGTGGGAAGAACATATCTATCACCCAGTGTTCTACTACTGAAACCAAACTTAAAATTTTATCATAAGATTTTGTGTGTTATTTTCTTTTATTCTGGAATATATTACTATAGTTGGGATCAACATAAATCTAAGAGCACTGATATCATTATGGAACAGCTCGTTATTCTTTAGGATCCCAGATCCACATTAACTAGCAGTATACTTAGGGCAAGACACTCAATCTCTCCATGCCTTGGTTTCCTAATTTGTAAACTGCTGATAGTACTTTTTATAGGAAAGGTGATCAGATACTTTATGTCCGAACTTTAAAAATTTATATTCTGGAGTGAGTGAAGTTGCTCAGTCATGTCCAACTCTTTGAGATATCATGGACTGTAGCCTACCAGGGTCCTCCATCCATGGAATTTTCCAGACAAGAGTACTGGAGTGGGTTGTCATTTCCTTCTCCAGAGGATCTTCCTGACCCAGGGATTGAACCCTGTTCTCCCACATTGCAGGCAGACGCTTTACCATCTGGGCCACCAGGGAAGCCCCATATTGGAAGGGGATATTATTAATAATCATGCTTGTACCAGTGGCACAAACAAGGACCACTCCAGGCAAGCTGAGGACTATGGTTATCCTATTTTTAAACGCAGGTGTGAGTGTGCATGCTCAGTTGCTTAGTTGTATGGGACTCTTTGAAACCCCAGGGACAGTAGCCTGCCATGCTTTTCTGTGCATGAAATTTTCCAGGAAAGACTACTGGAGCAGATGGCCATTTCCTACTGCATGGGATCTTTCCTGCCAAGGGATTGAACCCATGTCTCTTGCATTGGCAGGTGGATTCTTTACCACTGTGCCACTTGGTAAGCCCCTTAGAGGCAGTTGAGAGAATTAAATGAGAAAATAAATATAAAGCACATAGGACAAAGCCTGACACACAGAAAGTGTTCGGTAGATACTAGTCAATATTTGATTTTACTATTGAATTGAAAAGTTTTATTGTTTTGGCTTTGCTTTTCTTTTAACAATACTAAGCTTGATATTCTTCTTTATGATAAAGGATAGTGGGCTAAAATAAGGAGAGCTTAAGTTTTTCAGGACTAAGAAAAACCGAACTGAAAGTTAAACATCCAACCTCTCTAAATGAGGAGCAATGTTGAAAGATACTGCAGAAATTCTTAGTTATAAGGAAGATGCTGGAATTACAGTGCATGACCTGTGAACTGTTCGGACCATCAGAAGCATGAATGGAAGAACTGGAATTTTAATGGTTTTGTGTAACATTTCTCAAAGGTTTTGGTCTGAAGATCCCTTTACACTTCAAAAAAATTTTGAGCACCATAATAAAGCTTTAGTTTATATGAGTTATATCTATTGATATTAGAAATAAAAATGGAGGCAATTTAAAAATATTCATTTAGGGAATTCCCTGGCAGTACAGTGCTTAGGACTCCACACTTTGACCGTCAAGGGCCTGGACTGGATCCTTGGTCAAAGAACTAGGATCCCTCAAGCCACTCCTTGTGGCTAAAAAAATTATTTTATTCATTTAAGATAACTTCATCAAGTATTAACACAACTAACATATTTAAATGAAAGAAACTATCTTTATAAAATAAAAACTGTTAGAGGGTTCATGTTTTACCTTTCTACAGATCTCTTTTTTGACTGGTTTAGTAGGGTTGAATTTGTTGCAATACGTTATGGTAGAAAAGTATGAATAAGATACACTGTTGGAAAAGTGAGGGAGTATTTTAATAGCTTTTCTAGATAATTATGGTTATTCTTTGATACTACACCAAAACTCCACAGTAGTTTCTTAAAGGTTTATTATAAACTGAGATCTGAAATCATATCAATTAACTTTTTGTACTGTTACATTGAAGCACATCAGTCTGTTCTGCACTTTGAATGAATCTTTAACTCATGATTTTGTAACATCATCCATTATTCAGTTGGAAAATATTGTTTCACTGAGTTAGGCAGATATTTCAAATGTTCACACATTTCAGAAACCTAATACTTTAGAACATTCTAGAAAACATATGACACACATCCCATTAGCCATCAGAATGATGGTGTCATCACATGTCACGTTGCCTCTGGAAAACTCCACGGTAGATTTGTGAAAAAATGAGAAGAATAAGGACAAATCATGTCTTATTATGAAAATAGTTTTGACTGCATGATTCATTGAAAAAGTTGTAGTCTCAGGCCATACTTTAAGAACAGTTGATATGGTATGATATGAGCTATTAAACAAAGAAAACAAACAAAAGAAAACTTACCACCTCCTTTTCTCTCTTTTAAAAACCAGTAGACAATATGACATAACACACAAACAGTAAAAGGCTAAAATATAGCCTCAGGTGGCAATTGCAAGTCTCTTTACAATGAAGGTAAGTAGACAAGCTTATAGAAACATATGATTTATAATTTAAAGGTCTTTTCTCATTTTTTGGGAGTTTGAACCCTGTTAATTATTAGCATTTCAAAGCATGAGAGTAGCTCTCTTTGGGGAGCTCAAAGTGCCTCACTTCTTGGTCTTCTCTCCATTCCCCCCACCCCAATACCTGCCCAAGATGGAATCTTTGCAGAAACATACAGGGTGGCAGAACAATACTAAAAATATTTTAGTACATGTTTTCTGTTTGCAACTTAGATTGTAAGCTACTCGTTTTCTATGGAAAGAGTTTTCTTTGCAAGTACAGAAGATGGTATTCTTACATGAAATTTGTTGCATGTGAGGAACTGCTAGATAAACCTGTTTTGCTCTCCTTGTTCTGTTATTCCAGGCCCTTCAAAGTAGGATGATAGCGCAGCCTGATCCTAGTTTTTGGAAAAAGCTGCTTGCTAACTAGTTTAGGCTGCAAGAAATTCATTCAGCAATACTGCCACGGAGAAACGTTTTTTAGGCGCCTTGCTCCTTACTATTCAGTTTCCCAATGCACTTATCACATCCTTCTAGCTGCATGGTAGGTCCTACTGTGTGGTCTCCTGGGAAATGAATCGATTTCAAGATTACCTACCCTTCAGCAAACACCTTTTGTACTTTCTTTTAGGAAAGTCTTATTTTATCTTAGATGAGACCAGGCTCAGATACAGTGTTAGAGGATGTCAAATCAATTAAAATTATTTACACTAAGGCATGAATTAAGATGGATATCAAGTGCTTGAGAACCAAGAACAAACTGATGGACTGAACAAATCAACTTGAAAAAGGGTGACAACTTGAAACGTGAAAAAGGCCACAACACAGCACTCAGCTTTTCTTTGCAACCATAATAAAAGCCAGTAAGATACAACACAGGGAACTCTACTCAATACTTTGTAAACACCTATGTGGAAAAAGAATTCTTAAAAAGAATGGATATATGTATACCGGATTCACTTTGCTATACACCAGAAACTATCACAACAGTTTGAATCAATCGTATACGCCAATTAAAAAAACCCCAAAACATTAAGTCATTTAAGTTTTAATCTCATTGCCTTAAGTGCCCAGGCCATAACTGAAAGACAAGGCTGGTAATGCAGTAAGTGAGACCTGAGATCACTAAATGGTTATGTTTTGCAGACCCACAGATTTAGATAGTTAAGGTGAAATAGGGTGAAGTGACAAGATAACAATTCTCTTTTGAGCAAGGCGTTTTGACTTCAAGGCCGTTGGTAATAATTCTGAGACCTTCTTGACGTTTCATTATTCCTCGTATTTGTTTTTTTAATTTCAGCACTGGAATGAAAACTCCAGACTCTGATTTACAACTGTTTTTAGATTAAGAGGGGGCCTGGAACTTGGGAGTACATGACATAGTTTAAGCTAATGCCACCTCCACCCTCTTTTGCAGGGCGCCCTCTCTTCCCTTCTCGCAGCTGTTCCAACTCCCGGGCTTGGCTGAGGGTAGACGACGGGGTGACTACCCGGCCCAAAAAGCCATTAAGGGCGTATTTCTGAGTCTTCAGATTCTCGCTCTCGCCATGACCTTTCAACAGGCGGGCGGTACGGCGCCTGCGGTGATCCGGAGCCGGCAGTGCGCGCTGGATGCAAGCAACAGGCACGACCGACGTGCCATTACTGCGATTCTCCAGCGACAGCAGTGGGCGGCACTTGAATCTTCTTTCTTTAACCCTTCTTCACACAGAGGCCCACCCTCACCGGACATGAAGCTGTCTCTACTGTATGTCACTTCCGGCCCGGAGCCAGCCGCTTGGCGGAAGCGAGCACGTCCGTGCGCGGTAACTTTGTTCCCGCCTCCTTTGCCCCTGACACCACTCACCTTCGGCTTTCTCGGAGCGCGACGTGCGTGCGCGCCCCCGGCCTTGCGTCAGGGCCGAGGGGAAAGGCCGAAAGAGCGAGGGTAGAAGGAGGGGTTGCGGAGGTTAGGGCCCAACCAGCGAGTCCCGTCGTCCTCCCTCCTCCTGACGAAGAGCGGAGAGGGAAGGGGAGGAGCGAGCCGGTCCGGCCGCGCACTCCAGGAGCCTCCTCGTGGAGGGGGGGGAGCGGAGGAAAAGGGCAGCACTGCCACCGCTGCTCGCGGCGGCGGAGGAAGAAGAAAGTCAGGGCCCCTACCCACCGCATCAGACTCAGAAACGCTCCCCCCCGCCCCCATCTCCCCGGAAACAGCCCCCCGCCCAGCCCCGCACACTCGCTGCCCCAACCGTGAGCCGCAGCCGGGTCGCCCCCGCCTCGCCCCGCCCCGCCGCCCGTCCCTGCGGGCCGCAGAGTGCGCGAGGCCTTAGGCCGGGAGTTGTTGTCAGGCCCAGGCCACTTCCGAGGCGGCCGCCGTGTGTCGCCGCCACTACAGGAGGACGACGTCGACGCTGAGAAGGAGGAGGAGGCGGCGGAGGCGTGTTGTTGTCTCGCCCACTCCCCTCCCCTGAACTCGCACCCAACGTCAGGGCGCGATGAAGTGAAGCGGCGACGAAGGTGGTACTTCCGCGTTGCGCTACCGGAGCCGAGAGCGCAGCCGAGGCCGCTCCCCCCACCCCTGGGGGGCACTTGGAGGACTCCGGACTCCCCCGCAGGTCAGCGCCCGGCGCATCTGGTGTTTTTGCGGCTGAAGCTAGGACGACGAGAGCGATCTGGAGCTCCTCCGCCCGGATTCCTGCTGCCCTCGGGCCCGGAGGCCGCTACGTACCCCACTGTGATCTGGAACCCAGGGACCCAAGTCCCGATCCGGATTATCGTGGCGCTTCTCCCGGACGGCCCTGGTGCTCGGTGTCCCTCCGCCGTCGCTGCCGCCGTTCCCGTTTCCGGCGGGGGAGATGGCCAGGATCTGACCCGGGAGGAGGCCGCACCCGCGCCGCGCTCTGCGGCGGGCTCTAGGCGATGCCGAGCAGCTCGGACACGGCGCTGGGGGGAGGCGGGGGCTTGAGCTGGGCGGAGAAGAAGTTGGAGGAACGCCGCAAACGGAGGCGATTCCTGTCCCCTCAGCAGCCGCCGCTGCTGTTGCCGCTCCTGCAGCCGCAGCTCCTGCAACCGCCGCCGCCCCCGCCGCCTCTGCTCTTCCTGGCTGCTCCCGGCACGGCCGCCGCCGCAGCCGCCGCCGCCGCGGCCTCCTCCTCTTGCTTCAGCCCGGGCCCCCCTCTGGAGGTCAAGCGGCTGGCGAGAGGCAAGAGGCGCGCAGGAGGGCGGCAGAAGCGGCGCCGCGGGCCCCGCGCCGGGCAGGAGGCGGAGAAGCGTCGGGTCTTCTCGCTGCCCCAGCCGCAGCAGGACGGCGGTGGCGGTGCTAGTAGCGGCGGGGGTGTGACCCCGCTGGTGGAGTACGAGGATGTAAGCTCCCAGTCCGAGCAGGGGCTGCTGCTGGGGGGGGCCAGCGCGGCAACGGCGGCGACGGCTGCCGGGGGAACGGGGGGCAGCGGCGGGAGTCCGGCCTCCTCCTCCGGCACCCAGCGTCGCGGGGAGGGGTCGGAGCGCAGGCCCCGCCGGGACCGCCGCAGCAGCAGCGGCCGCAGCAAGGATCGCCACCGCGAGCACCGACGGCGGGACGGGCAGCGCAGCGGCGGCGAGGCCTCCAAGTCCCGCAGCCGCCACGGCCACGGCGGCGAGGAGCGGGCCGGGGCCGCCAAGAGCGGCAGCAGCAGCAGTAGCGGCGGCCGGCGGAAAAGCGCCTCGGCCACGTCCAGCAGCAGCAGCAGCCGTAAGGACCGAGACCCGAAGGCCCATCGGAGCCGGACTAAATCGTCCAAAGAACCGCCTTCGGCCTATAAGGAGCCGCCCAAGGCCTATCGGGAGGACAAGACCGAGCCCAAAGCCTACAGGCGGCGGCAGCGGTCCCTGAGCCCGCTGGGAGGCCGGGACGACAGCCCGGTGTCCCACCGGGCCTCGCAGAGCCTGCGGAGCCGCAAGTCTCCCAGTCCGGCGGGAGGTGGCAGCAGCCCCTACTCGCGGCGGCTGGCCCGCTCCCCGAGCCCCTACAGCCGCCGCCGCTCCCCCAGCTACAGCCGCCACAGCTCCTACGAGCGCGGCGGCGACGTGTCCCCCAGCCCCTACAGCAGCAGCAGCTGGCGCCGCTCCCGGAGCCCCTACAGCCCGGTGATCAGGTGAGTTTGGCGTCCCGAGCGTCCGTCAGGGGCTGGGCCGGCCAGAGCCCGGAGGCTGGGCTGGAGGTGATGAGACTCCGCAAAATTCGGATCCGCGGGCGGGGCGAAAAACCCCACCTCGATCGGGGCTTCCGGTGGGGAGGGGCGCTTTCGCGCGCCCGGGACCCCTGTTGGGGCGTTTGGAGGGGACAAAGCGACAGGTCCAGCAGACTCTCCTCGCCCTGGAAAGGAAGTGTTCTGGGGAAGAGTTCAAAGTTTTAAACTTGTTGCATTGATATATTAACAGGTTTCTCTAAACTGCTCTTAGCTTTCCCCATACCAGTTGGTTTGGGTAAACCGAGAGGTGGTTGGATTTGTCACAATTTGAAAGCTCTCAGAAGAGGTTTCATTGCTGGAGACGTAGGACTGGGTTGCGGCTTAGGGAGTAAATATTGGAGAGTGGGCACCAGGTGCTGATGTCAAAGTTAGGTGTGGGTTGCGTATGTTGCATATGAGGAGTACAGCGATGGAAAAAGCAGCCTTTCTGTCAAGTTCGTTGTTTCAGTATGTGAAACAGCTGAAGTGAAGTCTCGTGGTTATAAATTTTGAAGATGCTTATTTTATATTCTTGTGTGAAATATTTTTTTTCACCCGACCTTCCAGTTCTGGTTTTAGAAAGAAAAAAATGGCGAGATTGTGGTTTCATTGTTTGTTTGTGTGACACTCAGTTGCTGATAACGTCATTTAAATACAGTCTAGTTGCTGTGATCCTGTATAGTGACCCAGTGAATGACTTAGTACTGAACGTTTCTTACACTATTACACTATCTGCTATTTAAATTATTTACATTAAGGTTAACTAGACCTTTGAGTATCAGGATTTTTGTTCCAAGTATCAGTGAAAAGTATAATTTGATCTAGTGAAATTGGAGTAATTCTTTTATGCATCTGTTATGCCTTACCTGTTACATAATACTATTTTCCAAAAAAAGTGTGTGCCTTGATATAAATTTATATCTTTTAAGCAAAATAAATTGTAAGTAACTTGAGGATATTTCATGTTCTTAGATTCCCTTAAATGTGTAGGAATTCTGGACTCTATAGTTTAGGGTATTAGAAAATGTTTGTCGGTTTTTTTTTTTTTTTCTATTGGTCTTTTCAATAATGCCAAGCAGCTGCTGAGCGTGGTTATGTTGAATACAATATGTGTACCTGTAAAATTAGATCTTCTTGAAGCGTCAGCCTAGTGTTTGTAAAGATGTGATTCCAGCAGAGATTTGTGTTTGCCTTTAAACCAAAACAGCTGTATAAATCTCTTCATTCTTGAAGGGTTGCAGCACACTTAATAGTGCTAGTTGATGTGTTAAGCAGAGAATATCAAGATTGAACACTCAATTTCACCATATCTAGCTTCTACATCTTGTATGAGTTTATATTTTTCTTTAAATGAAATATGTTAGGTTTGCCAAAATGTTTGTATTTTTTGCAGGTAAATTTGTTTTTGACTGATTAGGTCTAAGTTTCAGTGCTTTATATAGATACTAAGTGTATGATGCAGTTTTAAGAATGAATTTTGTGTTCATCAGACTTTTTAGTTGCTAGGTACTTCAGTGAGGTCCTTTATTATCTAATAGTGCTGTGTATTTTCTGTTTATTACAGAGCAGCGTTATGTGTGGTTAGGGGTGTTATTTTATATTTAGCAAGTATTTATTGAGCATGTATTACATGCCAGATAACTGTTTTAGGGACTGAAATATAGCAGTGAAGAAAGACAAGGTCCTTCCCTTTATAAGCCTGGCATTCTAGAGGATCATTCATACAGAATCTTTTCATGGTGTCTGTACTGATCACCCATGTTTATAAATGGTTGGATTTTGAAGAAGCTTTAGAGTAGATTGGCCGACATTCCTGACAGCTAGCCTTTTGACTGTGTGCATGTATACATCTAATAGAGGTGGGAAGATGTTATATTACTTTGCGACAGCCTATTCTGTTAGATTTGGAACTTCTACTGCTGGTTTGCCCAGTTTCTTAGCAAGTCCTTGGGAGATTCCATTTCCTAAACTTTAACAGGGAAATACTTGTTTTTTTTGGATTATTTCAAGGATTAAATGAAAAATTTGTGTTTTGTGTGTATTTAAAATTGGTAAATTTTGCTGTTACAGCTCAATAAAACTGATATTTTTAAAGGGAAAAAGTTTGTGTTTTGTGAGGTATAGAAATATTATAGACTATTACAGAACCATAACATTGTAGAATATTTATTGAATAGCTTGAATTGCTGGAATTTTTCATATTGAAACCAGAAATCTGCCTCCACATAACTTTTGCTCAGTGCTTTGAGTTTAGCTTTTTGGAATACTTCAGAGCAAACATGTATGCTGCCTCTTCAAAATGTAGACAGCTGTGTCTTCTGAGTCGTTTTTTTGTCTGGGTCAAAAACCTAATTTTTCATAAAGTTTTTAGATTTCACATTGTATTATGCCTAGTTTGTCAAATGTCCTACTTGAAAATAGGACTCAGAATATATAGTTAAAATATTGATTGAAAAACTTGATTTTTAAATATAGCAAATGTGTTGTTACTGTTTTGGAACAACTAATTGATCTCTCTTGTTCACGTTAATGCAGAAAGTTTTAAGTAATTATGGTAGATGGCCCACATTGTTTAATGAATAGACTGTTGGATTGTGAGCTCCATGAAGGCAATTAGCCTGTCTTGCCTACCATTGTATTCCTAGTGCTCAGCGTAATATCTGGCACCAGTAGACTTATTAATTGTTGAATGGGGACAGAAAGGGATGATGGAGTTTACTGAGCATATGAAATGCTGTGGGCCTGGATACTTAAGAGTTTAATAGCAACTGTGTGTTTTGCTATAGGAAATAGCAGAGTGATATTTTGTAGCACTCAGGGAGCTTATATAATAATGAATTGTCAGTGTAGATATTTTAAGGAAATGCATGCATGTTTAAAATGGTATTGAAACATGAAATGAAAGTTTTTCTCTGTATTCCTAGAATAAATCCTCTATTCCATTGACTTCTACTTCATCGCTTCTACTTCCATTGACAACCTGCTCTTTGCCTCCATCTGAATCTTTAGCCCCCTGCTGCTCATGCTTTTCATAAAGTCCTTTTTTACTTTTTCTCTTTTAAAACCAGGTTACCATATTTTCTTTGCTAGTTGACAGTTGGGGTGGTAGAAGTCACATAATTCTGCTGATTGGCCTTACAATAAATGTGCAAGTGAACTTAAGAGGGGCTGTGTAGAATGAGAGAGAGTGGTACTGACATTTAGATTTTACTGAGTGCCAGGCATTGACTGATACTTAACATACATTCACCTCCAAAGCCATGTTGTGGTTGGAACGTTCTTGTTGATAGACTGGGAAATGGATCCTCTAAAAAGTTAAGTGATTTGTTCCAAGGTCAGCTTGAATTCAAATGCTGAGCTGATCCTGAAGTATAAACTCTTGATAGCTATTGTGCTGTAGGGGTTCAGGGGAGCTGACCACCTCACTTGGCGATCTGTTTTGCTAAAATTTACCCCGTTTGGTTACTTGTGTGTTAATTTCTGTTTTCTGACCATCTCCACAGCATTTTGAAGATTTAAAAAAATTTTCAAAAAAACCCAAATTCTTCTAAAGGTCCTTTTAGATCACTTTGTCTTTTAATTTGTAGGTTTTATGAATAGGAGGCTAAAAACATTTCTTGGAGGCACTAGTAATACTTAGTTATTGCAATGGCATGTCTTGCTCTGAAGTCACTCAAGTCAGACCAGTTGCGATCAGTATAATAAATTGCTATATGTAACTGATTCCTTTTCTGAACGTGTGGAAGTTCTTTTCCACCAAGAAGCAGCAGAATCCTCAATTAAGGAATAATGAGACCCTGAGGATCTAAAGACAGGCATAAATTTAAATGAATTGACTAGTATTCACTTGCATATGTTGTAGGGTACCTCTGTTGTAGATTATTTAGTGTTTTGTCCTAAAAACCAGTGCTCAAAAATAAATGAAGACATTCCAGAATTTTTAAAACAGTATTACTCATAAAATACTGATTTGATATGTACTTACTAGAAATATCATGAATACCCATAGATGAATTGAGTTCTTAAAATGCTTTTCAAAAGTGTTAGAAAGATAGATTAGTTGAATAAATGCAGAAACACTCAGAAGCGATGGAAATTCAGGTGAACTGTCTTAAATCTCTAAACCAGTAATCACCCCTTTCATTCCCAAGATGGCCTTGTGTTTTGCTACTTCTCTGACCAAACCTTACCTGTCATTTACGTCTACTCATTCTGTATCACATTTTTATTTTAACACTGATACTGCCTTAGTTCAGGCCCTCATTTGTGATCAGACTTCCTGTTATTCTTTTCTTTCCTGTTCATCCATTCTTTTCTTCCCAGTTCATTCTTTATCCAGGAGAGTTTTCTGAAAATTTTGGTTAGGTTGTGTCACTTCCGTTAATTAACTCCACATTTTCTAGTGCATTGTCAGGTAAGGCCTTTTATTATCTGGCCCTGTTCTATCAGAGTTCTACTTTTAGAGTCACTTCTATTTCTCTACATTTTTACTTTTGCTGTTCCTTTAGCTTGAAATCTCTTTCTCTTCTTTGCCTCCACCTTTGCAGCTCAAAATCCAGCTCAAATTTCATCATCCTGAGACCTTTCTCCATTCATCCAGAAAAAGTTAATTCCTTTTTTTATATCCTTATAGCACTTTGCTGTAGCTTTAATGTAGAGCTTTTAAAACTTTGTTTGTCTGACTACATTTCCCTACTAGATTGCAAGCTCTTAGAAGACAAATTCCAAAGTGTATTTATTAGTGGTTGAATTAATTTAAATATTTTTCTCCACAGATTAATGCAAACCAACTTTTGCACAGATGCCAGTTGTATCTCTAAACTTACCTACTGTTTTGGTTCACGTATACTCCAGGATGGGGGAAGTAATTGTTTTGGTTTTTAAGTGAAGAATTTAAGAACCTCCCTCTTTTAGCTTCTACTTAA